GTGGTAAGTGGTAGAACCAGGTTTCTAACCCAGGTCTTTCTGACTCCCAAGTCTAGTGTTCATTCCTCTATTACCATCCTGCCTCAGGACTGAAACTGAGCTGTTTACCCATGGGCAAAATGGCCAAAAGAACAACTAATTGCTTAGTCAACAAGTATATTAAGCATCTTCTTAGGGAAGCAGAATGGCTTCGAGAAAGAGTCCTAGATTTAAAGCCAGAAGACCTAAATTAGAATCTTAGCTCTACTACTTATTACCAATGTGACATTAGCAGAGTCCTTCACCATCTCTAAGCCTCAGTTTTCCCATCTGTAAAATGAGGGGTTTGGAGGTGGCCTCTAGGTTCCCTTTCAACTCCAAATCTTATGATTTTATGTGCAGGCAAAGTAGTGGGCACTGAGGAATCAAATGATTATGGATTTCAAATTGGAAGGGACCACGAGGATCATCTGGTCCAACCTCCTATTTTACAGATTAGGAAAATGACTCTCCCAGGACCATACATCAAGGAAGAACTTGAACTCAGGTCTTCATGATGCCAAGTCTAGTACTCAATCTACTATATCTCGTTCCCTTTCAATATAAAGTATAATGCAAATCTCTACTTTTCAGGAACTTAAAGCCTAGTGAGGGAGATGAGTTATACACAGATAAAAAGAGAACAATACAACATAATACAAGTTAAGAACCAAATGAATGATACAGGCAGAAAGGACTTTATATGTCACTCCAGAGGAAAGGAGATCACTATGGTCTGGGGAGAGGAGGCTTCAAAAAAGAGGCTGAATCTGAGCTGGGCTTTGAAGGAAGGGTAAGACCTAAATAGATAGAGAGAAAGAAGAGGATGACCACTCCATGAGCGATAGTTTGGAGGAAGGAATACATCCACAAGCTATCTGGAGACAATATGGAGTGTGGTTGGACTGGAAAGCTCCAGATAGGGAACAGACGAGGCTGAGAAGGTAGACCACGGAGCATTTTGCCAATCTTCAGAGTCCAGACTTGGCAACAAGGAGGCAATGAGAATATTTTGAGAGGGTGAGTTATGTGTATAAAGTGGTGTTTTATGATTGATCTGGCAGCAATGAGTTGAACCCAGAGAGACTGGAGGCAGAGAGGCCAGTTAGGAGGTTATTACAGTAATCTAGGTGAGAGGTGACGAGGGCCTGGGTGAGGGTGGTAGTGGGAATGGAAGGGAAGGGACAGATGCGTGAAAGGTATTACAAGGAACTATATTGACGGTCTTGGTGACTGTTTGGATGTGGGGGTGAGGACAGGGTGGGGTCAATGATGACTCTGAGGTTTCGAGGCTGAGTGACAGGGAGGATGATGGTGCTGTCATTGGAATAAATAGGAACTCTGGAGGAGGAGTTTGGGGAAGAGGATGAGTTTAATTTTAATGATGACTAGAACTTCTAGTTTTTAAATAGAGGCTAGTTTTTATTGCAAGCAAAGAAAAACCAGTTTTCTGGTCTTTCAATAAAGACTAGGAAGGTTTCTTCCAAGAGACAGCCACCTGTGGAGTGTCACTGAAGCAAGGTCACCCCTCTTGGCAGGTAAACCCAAACTCCTCTTACTGTTTACATAGCATTTTAAAGCTGACAAAGATATGCTGTCTTACGTGAACTTCACAGCAGCCTTGTGAACTAGGGGCTGCAGGGACAACTGCTCCTGTCCCCATTTTATAGGAAACAGACGCAGAAAGGTCAAGGGATTTTCCCAGGCACAAAGCTGATGTCAGAGTCAGGATTTAAGCCAAAGTCTTTCTGATTCCAATTCCAGCCCTTAACATTATGTCACACTGCTGAGCTATTTTCGATTCATTTTGAATTTTCTATTCAATTCAGCCCCTTTGGGGCTGTTGCTGTGAGAGGGACTGGTTAGATCCACAGGAGTAGGCCTCACATAGCTTAACCTATTCTCAATAGCACAGGAGTGAGTTCAAAGACCAGTAAGTTACTGTGGGGCCTCTGCAAAACCAACCTTACTTCTTACCATACCATTCCTCTTCGCTCTTGAGGAAATCAGTACATTCTGAGATCTGGAAGGATAGGACAAACAGGCTGAGTGGGGAAACTACCCCCACATTTTCTCAGGAGGATTTCAAACTACTCTGCTAATAGCTTTTCAAGTCATCACTATCCATCACTCAACCAGCCTCCCCTTAAAGGACAAGGCCTATGAAATCACCCTCCTACCTCCTCATTTCCCTCAAGTGAATGGATACATATGACATCCACTTCCATTTCCCCCCTCTCATTTTGATTTCTGCCTCCCTACCCCTACCTAGAAGGAAGACTACAGCCAATGAGAGTAGCCAGCTCTGTACCTTACTATGTGGCCTTTGGCAAATAATTTCTCCTCTCTGGACCTCAGTTTCCTCCTCCATAAAAAGAGAAGGCTGGACCAGAAAGTCCTCCAAGATCTATTACAGTTCTAAATCTATAATCCTGGGTGCTTTAGTGGATAGAGTGCTAGACTTTGGACCAGCAAGACCTGAGCCTTAATCCTACCCCATATATTTATTAGCTGTAGGACCCTGGGCCAGTCACTTAACTCTGATGCCTTTGGTCTCCTCATCTGTAAAATGAGAATAATAACACAGCCTATCTCCCAGAGGTTTTGTGAGAATAAAATGAGATTTGTAAAGCACTTCGCAAACCTTAAAGTGCTCTATGAAAGTATGTCATTGATGTTCCATTGTTTCAGTCATGTATGATACTGCATGACCCCATTTGGGGTTTTCTTGGCAGAGATACTGGTGTGGTTTGCCATTTCCTTTTCCAGATCCTTTTACAGATGAGGAAACTGAGGCAAACAGGTTTAAGTGACTCGCCCAGGGTCACACAGCTAGTATCTGAGGCCAGATTTTAACTCAGGTCTTCCTGACTGTAGGCCTGGTGTTCTATGCACTGTGCCACCTCACTGTTCTCTATGAAGGTTAGCTATCATTATTAATGGTATGGTCTGGGTTGTCACCCTCTTGCTTCTCCTTGCCCCCCAGAAACTTCTGTATGAATTCTTTCACTCAATCTGTGGAGACCAGTTTGATTACCAGATCCTTGGTGGCAAGGGAGTGTGGACTTACAGTCCAGGTTCAAATTCTGGTATTTACTATCTGAGTGACCTCCGGCAAGTTATTTCCCTTCTCTAGGATCTATTTCCTCATCCACAAAATAAGGGGGCTAGAGCAGCAGAACTTTAAGGTCACTTGCAACTTCTATGACCCAAAGGATAGATGCCAGGGATGAAAGAAGAAACATGTGGCTTTGGGGTCTGAGGATTACGTGTTTTGCAAGCAGCAGCCATCCTTGACATGACCTTGAAAATAAACACAAAGCATCAGAGAAAACTAGATCTGGAAAGGACCTTAGAAATCTTTGGGTTTCACAACCCAAACCATACTATGGCCTGGCAAAATAATTAATTCTCCATCAGCAATTGGTACTTTCACCTTCTGAAGCTTCAATCAGTAGCTGAAAAAAAGAAGGGAGGCAGGGGAAAGAAGAAGAGAAAATGGGCCTACTTTTTTTTTCCCCAAGTCTATAAGGTTTTTAAAAATGGTAATGTTTGGCAGTAATAAATTTGAAGACTGGTTAAAAAAAAATATGACATAGATCAGCAACTAAGAAACATTGATCTAATTCAACTCCCTCATCATAAATACAAAGAAACTGAGTCCCAGAAAAGTAAAATGCCTTGGCTGGAGTCATATAGTGAGTTAGCACCACAGCTAGGGCTAGAGTCCAGATTACAGTTCAGTGTTAACTATGCAACCTCAACCAACTTATTTGACATTTGACAATCATCACCACCTCCAAACTGAGAACTGGTCGTGAACAAAAAAAATAAAACAAAACAAAACAAAAACAAAAAACCAGTCTCACCTGGCATTACTTCAATATTCACCATGGGTAAATGGACAAGTGGCTCTTAGCCAAGGAGGGAGAGGCAATCCCCGCCTTCTAGGTAGCTACTCAGTTTCAGACCCAAATCAAATGATTTTCCAAACCAGCCACTCCTACTCCCAACCTCCTCACTCCCCCTCAACGCTCAACTTATCCTCTCGAGGCTTCCTCATAGCATTAACCCGCACCCTGCCCTTCCCCCTTCCTCCCCGCCCCCAGCATGCCCCACCTCCATCTTGCTCATTTCCTTCTGTTCATGTCTCCAACACCCCCACCAACACCCTCGTAGCCATCTGGTCTCTCCCTGGTCAGGACTAAAGAGGGAAAGCTTCCCCAAAAGGCACCTCCTCTAGCATGTATCCACGGAGTGTCAAAAGGCCAAGGTGATAAGGAGGTGGTACAGAAGGGAGGAGAAAGGGTTAGGCTTGGGAAGCTGTAGGAGTGAGAATTGGTGGCATGCCGCATCCAGATTTCCCCAAACAAGCCCCAGGAAAACCTGTTGGTAGAGTCCTAGACGCCTAGTTCTGACACCTCGCTCTGACACCTCAGGCTGGTAGGGTCCTCTTGAGGTCACAGCAGGAGGCATATTAGAAACTGCCTCTGGCAGTTTATTTGCACAATTTCTTCTCCACTTAGTGACCGAATTTGATCCTTCCCTCATAGATGAGAAGAGAAACAAGATTCGGAGAGAGGTAGTAACTTGGGAGTTGGTGGGGAATCAGGGTGAGTTGGAAATCAGAGATTGGGCAGGAACTCGAATTCAGTTCTGTCCTGGCTCCTACTCTTCTTCCCTTGTCCTTACTGAAGGCTATGATTTCACAAGTGTGGAGTGCCAGATATCTACTAGGCTCCGTGTTTCTTTCATCAGTCACCGGGAGGGAAGGCCGAGCCAAAGAAGTGAGTCCTGTGGAAGGGCTTGAAAGAGAAGGGGGAGGCACCTTCCTGGATGGGAGGTAGTGCCAGGTTCAGGGGGTGGGGGAAACCCAGAAGACAAATCTGCAGCTAAAAAGCAAGAGGAGGGAGAAGGCCACACTGGCACTGAGCTGGCACTGAGGAGAGATGCCCACTCACCATCTGCTCTGTCTCCACCAGGGCTTGTAGAGGTCCCAGACATGAACCAGCCCAGGCCTCGATACGTGATAGACCGAGTTGCATACTCCCTACCCCTTTTCGATGAGGAATTTGAGAAGAAGAACAGAACTTACCCAGTGGGCAAAAAGCTTCATGATGCTTTCAGGTAAGATGCCAAGCTCTGAACCTGTGTTTCTCTAATCATCTCGTGCCAGCCATCTTGCCATCAGAAAGCCATGGCCTGCTGGCCAGCATTCTTAGGAATGGGAGCAAGGAGGGACAAAGACAAAAGGGCCTGGGCCTTGATTCAGGATCCAGAAATCATCAGCCATGTGGAAGGTCCTCTCTTTACTAGTTGTTGGGTCAAAACCACAGAGAGCTGTCTGGAGGAAGAACGGGAAGAGTTGGGACACTCTGGCACCTTGGGATTCCAGTATCTCCAAACTCACTTTATGGAGTTCTCATTCCACCTTGGCTTTCTTAGGCTCTTCTTTATTATTTCCTTGGGGAATGCTATCAGGAATATCTTGACTTGGGGTTTGCAGAAGCAGTAATAGGGGATCCCACCTCAATCTTACAACTTCCTCTAGCCCAGGGAAACATTCACCCTCTGAGCTCCCATACACATGCTCTCCTCTCGCTGCCTCCCCTCCACAAAAAACAGGTATCAAGCAATGCCCAAGAGGATTGAGTAAAAAGGGGGACAGCAGGGATCTCACTGCTCCCCATCCACTTTTTCCTCCTGGATGCCCCATCCCCATCCTTCCCTTCTCTAACCTGTGGCTGTCAATAAGCAGAAGTGGTTCCTAGAGGCAACAAACTGGATGAAATGACTTCATATGAGCAGCCCCAGGAGTCTCATCTTGGAAGTATTCTAAAGTGCTAAGGACCCAAGTCCCTGTCCTCTCCCCACCCAGATGGCTGGCAGCCCTCAATACCTGTCATGGGTTGGCTCTCTCTACTCCCCACCGCACCACCACCAGGTAGAGAACAGCTGGTTCAGTTTCTTGGATTGAGGTCACTGGCAATGACTGAGGTTGTGATGCAGGTGGAACTGGTTCAGGCTGGGAGGATCACCCACTTGAATCTCTGCCTAGAATCCCTGGCCCAACCCTGCTCTTCAAGGGAGGCTTACCCACTGTGGTTCTAGGCTCTGACACCAGTGCTGTGATTGGCTTCTAGTTCAGAGTTCCTTCAGTCAGCTAATGTATCCAAAGAACATAGGAAATCCTATACCCTGCTCTGTTCTGGACCCGGGCAGAAGGAACAAAGGGAAGGCTATGTCCTGAACGGTGGGAAGAAGGGTGGGGGAATACAGAAAAGAGGGTTGATGAACGAAATCCCGCTTCTCACCCTTTCCCATGTGGATGCAGGGAATGGACTTTAGAGAGCACTCTCTCTACCTCCTCTCTAACGATACCCTCTTTCCTCACCCTGTCAATCTCCAGTAGGATCTAGCACTTTTCTATCTTCAGTATTTAATATCAGTTTCTAGCTCTTTTCAAGATTCAGAGAGATTTGCTTGTATTAAAGCAGACTTGCAAATAAGGCTAGCCATTTACCAGCCCTAAAGTATAGCTTTAACATATGCTTATGCGCTTGTTAAATTTTCAGCATGATTATTTACATTTCAGAAATCAGCACACACTACAAATCAGGGCTTGACTTATTGTTTTGTTAATTATTTAGATTTAAGAAAGTGATGGAGAAAATGTCAATAATGCAGATCCAGCTTTAAAATGTGTCCATTTTTTCATTTTTTTTGGAGAACCAGTTATTAAACATCTACCAGCATATTGATGGCTTTAGTTCTTCCCAGGAGAAGTCAAATAAAAACAGTGTCTTCTGACAACTGGCACAAACCTATGACTCTGTAGCTGGGCTGAGTTTCCAGAGAAGCTTCAAGGTTTGTTCTGCATTATTTGACCCGTTTCTTTGTCTTCTCACAATAAGTGGAAGTCAATGGACCTAATTGCTCCAGAGAGGTAGGAGATACAGGCAGTACTGTTCTGTTGACCAATGCTACCATTGGTCTTCCACACTTCCCTACTTCTGTCAAGGGAGCCACCATCCTTCCAGTCTCCAAGGTTTACCACTTGGGCATTATCTTTAACTTTTTGCTCTCCCTTATAAATCAAGTCCGTTTCCAAATCTCACCATTTCTATCCCCATAACCCCCTTGTATTCTTCTTCTCTTCACTAATCACATAGCCACCATCTTAGTTCAGTCCCTCATTACCTCTTGTTCGGATTATTGTTCTCCCTTAGCTCAAGTCTCTCCCCATTCTAATCCATTTTCCATACAGCTACCAAAATGATTTTCCTTAAGCACAAGTCTGACCATGTCATTCCTCTATTCAATAAACTCCAATGGCTCCCTATTTAAAATGTAAGCTCATGTATTTGGCTTTTAAAGCCCTTCAAAACCTGGCCCCAACCTACCTTTCTAGCTTCATTATTTATTAATCTCCTTACTTTGATCTATGGTCCAACCAAACTGGGCTTCTTTCTGTCCCTCAGACACAATTCTCCTGTCTCCCTGGCTTTTCACTGGCTATCCTGCAGCCTTAAAATACATTCTTTCCTCCCCACTTCTGGCTCAGAGAATCCCTTATTTACTTGAGAGGTACACGTTGATATGAAGTTTTTCCTAATCCCTCTAATTTTCTGGTACCGTACCTTCTCTCTCTAAAGTACCTTGTATTTATTCTGTATACACTAAAAAAATGTGCATACTGTCTCCCTCCAGAGCAGGAACGGTTTCACTGTGTCCCTTCGTATCCCTAACATCCAGCACACAGCTAGGCACACAGTAACCACTTAATAGAGGTATATTATTGTGCACTGGATAGAGCCCCAGACTTGGAGTCAGGAAAACTTGGATTCAAATCCTACTTCTAATATGTGCTTGTTAGCTGTGTGAAACCCTGGGCAAGTCCCTTAAACTCTCTGAGCCTCGATTTCTTCATCTGTAGAATGACAGGTTCGGGTTAGATAATCTCTAAGTCCTAAATTCTAAGCTTCTGTGAATCAATGCCTGTTAATTGACTGATGGATTACTAGATAGGAGAATCAAGTTATAAAAACCAATTTCTCCCAGTTTCTGGGGCATTAGGAGACTTCCCAGACTTAGTAAGATACAAAGCATTTGCTGTGTTGGTTTAGGTTTTGGGTGACATCCAGGGGACCTAATATTGGGGAAACTATTGTTAAGCAATACCAAAGAGTCAGAGTCAGTGATGGTAAAGAAAAAAGGCCTAATCAAAGCAAGCAAATGAGTCACCGGAATGGGCCTTGATTCCATCTCCAAGTATATGATTGCATTGAAGTGGAACTTGGAAAGCAAATTGTTAGCCCCCGAATACACATACCCCCACCGCCACCCATCAATCCACCTTCTGTCAGCCTCCATTCTCAAGTCCTTGTTCCCCAGCCAGAGGGGTTCCTGTGAAAAGTCCTCAAGGCCTTAGACAAACAGGGAAGGGATCAACTCTCCCTACCCTGTGCTGATCAATGAAAAGTTCCCCCACCCACCCCTGATGTAAGTTAGTGTATTAACTAGGGAAAGGTCCCAGGTGCAGGTGTGTGTGTGTGTGTGTGTGTGTGTGTGTGTGTGTGTGTGTGTGCATGCGCGCGCAAGTTTTCACAACTTCAAGGTTAAGTCAGCAAGGACCCAACACTGAGGAGGCAGTGGAGTCTCCTCCAATGTTTGTATCTAAGGAATGAGGAGGTGACCCTTGTTTTAGGTTGGTTCAGATACATTCCTGCCTAGAAATAGGCGCAAGTTGAAAGAGAGGGCTATGGGTCAGGCTACAACAAAATGCAAAGTTTTAAACCCAAATACTACAGGAATGTTGGCACACATTAAAGAATTCCCCTTCTGTTCACTATGAACCAATTATTTACATAATCGATGCCTCTCAATAAGCAGGGGCATTAGTGTGCAAGTCTTCCCAGCCCAGAAGGTCCAATCCTTGATGATGTTCCTGATGGACAAGGGTATGGCTGTTCCCTACTGGTCTCTCCTACAACATGCTGTTCTCTTTCCTTCTAGATGTTCCTCTACCAAGATCAAAACTGTGGTATTTGGGCTTCTCCCTATCCTATCCTGGCTCCCCAAATACAAGATCAAGAGCTACATTGTGCCTGATCTGCTTGGTGGATTGAGTGGGGGGTCCATCCAGGTCCCACAAGGTGAGAGATTCTCCCTACTCTAGATATCCCCTGCATATTAAAAAAAAAAATTTTTTTTAAACTTTCTCTGATACTGAACCTTAAGGTGTGCCTGCCTTAGACTTCAGGGGCCCAAACTGGGGAGCATTGACTAGGATTCCCCTCAGGATTGGGGTAAACATTTGTTACTTTCTATACTGTATGTTCCCTCGGGTGGCCTGCTTTCTAAATATCAGACTGGAATCTGTATCCCTTTGAAATCATCATGGTATAGCAGGTCTAAGTCTAGCCATAGAGCCAGAGCCCCACTGGATTTCCCCACTGCCTTTGTGTGACTTTGCTCCCCTTTCTGGGCCTCAGCATCACAACTGTAAAGTGAGGAGACTGGATGAGACAGTTCCTGAGGTCCTTTACAGCTTTAAACTTATGATCTCATAACTTCTTCAGGCATGGCTTTTGCACTGTTGGCCAACCTTCCTGCAGTCAATGGCCTCTACTCATCCTTCTTCCCTCTCCTGACCTACTTCTTCTTGGGAGGCATACATCAGATGGTGCCAGGTAAAAGGCCTCCTGACCCTCAATTCCCCCTCCCTACCCTGCTTGTTGATGAGTAGAAGATCTAAAAGATGGTGGTATGTCCCATGTCATCCAAAGGAGGGAAACTCACTAGGTTGGTAAAGAGACTGGAAACTGTCATTTGAGGACTGATGCAAAGAACTTCGGAACCTGGGCTCAGAAAAGATATCATTATGATCTTGAATGAGCTTAAGGGCTGTCATGGGGAATATGATGACTTCTGAGGTTCCTTCTAAGCTCTAGCTCTCTATTCTCCTATGGTCACATAAGGGGAATTCTGTATCTTCTGCTTGGCCCTAGAGGGCAGAATTGAGAACAACGGATGGAAGTAGGAGGAAGATAGATGTAGGGGGAAATTCCTGGCGACTAGAGAAATCCAAAAATGAAATTGGCCAGCTTTCCTTGCTAATGAATAATGAGTTAATGGGAAATGAGTTCTCCAACACTGGGGTAGGGATGGGGGTGGGGGAGTCTTCAAGTAGAGGCCCATGCTTTGGATTGGGATGAGACTAAATGATCTCTGAAGTCCCTTCCAGTTTCAGTTCAATCTCTCTCACTCATTTACTGCATGACCTAAAGGCTTCTCACTTAGCCTTTCTGTCTGATTCTCATTTTCTATAAAATGAAGAATATGATGGTGCTGCCAACTTCATGTTCCAAGGCTAACATGATATAGTACATGTGGAAGTATTTTGCAAAGCATGAAGGGTTGTACAAATGTGAAGGAATTTTCCTTATTAACTGGAGAGGAAACCGAAGCATAGTGAGGTGGAGGGCAAGAAGAATGTGGAATCATTGGGAGCTGAAGCTCTGTCCAGGACTACCTTTCCCAGTAGAATTATTCATCTGTTCCGTTGAACCCTGAGGGTTGGGGAGCCATCCTGGGGCCACTGGTGGTTGTAATGGGTATTGGTCCAAACCTCTGTCTTTTGCCGGGCTGGGTGGGGCACCACAGGTACCTTTGCTGTCATCAGCATCCTGGTGGGTAACGTCTGTCTGCAGCTGGCTCCAGAGTCCAAATTCCAAGTCTTTAACAATGTCACCAACACAAGCTATGTGGACACAGCAGCCATGGAAGAGGAGAGACTCCATGTGTCAGCAACATTGGCTTGTCTAACAGCCATCATCCAGGTGAGTGGAAAGGGCAGAAGTGCCTCAGTGAGACCCTGCTCCTCCTGGGTCTAGGAAGTAAGGGCCCAAGGAGACTGCTGACAGATCTCCAGGGTACTCAGCACCTCAAGGGAGGCAGAACAAGTTGCCTCTTCAATCCAAGAATCCTTAAGCTTTCTAGAGATTATTTCCACCCTACTTCTGCACCAAATCCAATACCTATAGAAAGGGTCAGGGGGAGGGTCTAACCTATTAAAGCAGATTTAGCAATTTGCCTTCTCCCATAGGGCTGGAAGGTACCTTGAGAAATCTTCTCACTCATACACTAAATGAGAATGTTTTCTGAGATTGGAGACTGAGAATTCCAGTTCAAAGAACTTAGAGGTTACCTAGTCTAACCTGTTGTCCAGAGATCTCTAGAAAAAGTGTTCAGATCTCAACCTGTCACTTAACCCAGTATCTGACTACCTCCTCTGCCAAGATATTAAAAATCTGCCTGAAATCCTTTCTAATTCTTCATATGCTTAGAGGCGCTAGGAAATGTTCCTCCTCTACTCCCAACCCCCTCCCAGCTCCTGTCATCTACACCATCAGTATTGAAGGTGTACCTGAGCCAGAGATAATATAGAAAGCCTCAAGGAACACTTTTTTTAATATGCCTTTTTTTTCCCTAAATGCATATTTTTATTATAGAAAGCTCCACTTCTCTTAAATATGTAAGTGCCTGTGTGTGATAAGTGACAATCTAGGATCACGGGATTTTAGAACTAGAACCTTAGAGGTTCATAGGTTTTAGAGTTGAAAGTAACTTTAGATATTACCTAGACAGCCTCTCCCATTTATCAGATAAGAAAACCAAGGCTTAAGAGGGAGAGTGACTCACTCAAAGGTTATGCAGGTGATACAGCAACATTCAAAACCAAGTTTTCTAAGTACAAATCAAACATACATTTAGCTAAACTCTATTGCCTGCCAGTATAAGGATTACAGGGAAGGCCCAAAGCTTCTTACAGACAATCACTCATAAGATGGGAGTGGGGAAGGGGGGAAGGGGGCAGGTGAAATCTTCAAACCTTACTTAGGATGTACAAAATGCCTCATCCCAGTTCTAGGCCTACTCTGTGCAAGGCACTGTGCTAGAAACCATAAGAAATACATGACAGTCCCTGCCCTCAAGGAGCTTACAATCTAGTTGGGGAGATTGGATATGTGCATTAAAAGCTCACTAGCCACTCAAGGATGCACCTGTGACATTCTGGGTGAGCTGCTGTTGTCCTTGGCCGTGGGGCTGTGGCAGGGAGCTGCTGGTCTGGGCACGGCCCCAAGCAGGCATCTGCCTTTCTCTCCCCTTCCGCTTTACCGCATCCCAGATGAGCCTTGGCTTCGTGCAGTTTGGCTTTGTGGCCATCTACCTGTCTGAGTCCTTCATCAGAGGCTTTATGACCGCTGCTGGGCTGCAAATCCTCATCTCTGTGCTCAAGTATATCTTCGGGCTGACCATCCCCTCCTACACTGGCCCTGGGGCCACTGTCTTGGTGAGTCAACATATAATCCAGACGGCTGAGAGAGACACCTGAGAATCTTTCCTGCGCTTTCAGATTTGCTCTTTTTAAAAAGTGATGAATTCCCTTCATGCATTCATTCAATAAGCATTCATTAAATGCTCACAATACATAAGCCACTTTGCTAGAAGCTAGGATTACAGGATGCAACAGTCCTTATCTCTGAAAGTGTCTGAACCAGGGGTGGGCAACCTGAGGCCTCCAGGCCACATGTGGCCCTCTAGGTCCTCAAGTTGGGCCCTTTGACTGAATCCAAACTTCACAGAACAAAGCCCTTTGATAAAAGGATTTATTTGGTCTGTAAAATCTGGACTCAGTCAAAAGGCCACACCTAAGGACCTAGAAGGCCACATGTGACTCCAAGGCTGCAGGTTTCCCACCCCTGTTCTGAAGCAAGGCTGGTTAATCGCCTATCAGGAATTCTTGTGCTAGAAGGGCCTTGTGCTCAGTGGGAAGCTGGACTGGATGACCTCTAAGGTCCCTCCCATATCTATAATTCTAATTCTTGTTGCCTTCCTTGGCTCCTCATTTCAGTGCCTATCAGAGAAACCTAAATTAAACCTAATCTAATTCCCTCTAACTATAGCTTAAAATCTGTTTCCTCTTGTTCCACTCAGGGACAGAGAAAGAGAACTGTTCTGCTACTCCAGATTGTCTCTCAAATCTGGGTTGAGGAGGGAGGTGGGGAGGAGAGTCAGAATCTTGTTTCATCTAGGCCTCTCTCAAGCATTGTTGCAACCTCAGGAGCTTGGCACGCCTGCCCTGGACTGGACATATAGAAGGCAGAGGGAGGGAGCCTGTGAAGGTGATGATCTCTTCTTCCTGATTGTTCAATTCTGATGTCCCTGCTCTCCCTCTAGACCTTCATCGACATCTGCAAAAACCTGCCCCATACAAACATTGCTTCGCTTATCTTTGCCCTGATCAGTGCTGTCTTTCTGGTGCTGGTGAAAGAGCTCAATATCCGCTACATGCACAAGATCCGTTTCCCCATCCCCACAGAGCTGATTGTGGTGAGGACCTCCATCGGAAATTGGGTTTGGGGTTGGGAGCCTGGACTAATGGCCATGGGGACAAAATGACAATGTGGAACTGGATTCAGAGTAAGCAGACTTGTGAACAAAATCCTGGCTCTGCTATGTCCTACCTATGTGACCTAAGAAAAACCATTCTTCCTCTCTGGGCCTCAGTTTTCTTATCTGTGAAATGAGAGGATTAGCCTGAATTAGCTCTAGGTCTCTTACAGCTTTAAATTGTGTGATCCTAAGAGACCCCCATGAGGTGAGAGTATTAGGTTTAGACTAAAGGTGCCTGAATTCAAACCCTGGCTCTGTCACTTATGTTATCCTGGTATCCCAGGGGAATCTATCCTCTTCTCTGAGCTTCAACTATAAAGGGGGTTGAACTAGATCAGAAGTTATCAGACACGTGGCCCAAAGCCAACATGTTGTCCACCACATTCCCGAGTGTAGTCTGACCCATATTGAAACATAAGTGGGGGAAAAAAACATAATCAGGAAATATTTAACAAAATAAATAAAAATACAATAAAACAGGTAATATTACATTTTAAAATTGGATCAATACATAGCCCATAGGGATCCTCATGGACAGTTTAGTAGCCCTCTTTTCTATTTAGATGACCTTTAAGGTTCCTTCTGAGTCTAATTCTATGATCTATCATCTTAAGATCTCCCAGTTATATGGACATTAAAGCTGCCCCTCCCCCCTGCAGTGAGTGAAACAGGACATCAGGTGGTGGGTGAAAGTCAATCTTGGTCCATGGCTAGCCTTCCCAGGGAAGTCTCTGTCAGGTAGTTGGGAACAGAAAGGCCTGGGTTTCTTTTATTCAAGAAGGAAGCCTGGTAGAGACTCAATGCCCTGGCCTTGGCTCAGGTCCCATCTTTCCCTTCCTCAATAGGTGGTGGTGGCAACGGCTATCTCTGGGGGTTATAAGATGCCCAAGAAGTACCATATGCAGATTGTGGGAGAGATCCAGCAGGGGTGAGTGGAAACTGGCTGGGAGTTTGGCTCTCCCAGTCAGGCTTAGGCCCAGCCCCAATCTAGAACCTTGGTTCTGCAGCATGGAACAGTGTTGGATCCGTGAGTCAATTCCAGCGGGATCCTCTTTGGGACATTCACACCCCCAAGCCTAGCCCAGCTCAGCTCAGCCCCCAGTCCGTGCTTCTAGACGACAATTTTATTAGACCACAGGTCTAATTTATACACTGTTTTACTAGATAAAGGCTAGATAAATCAGATAAAGGCTACTCTGTTAAGAGGAAACATCTCTGCTTTGCCTCTATCCCAGGATGACTGCCTACTACAGGCAACAGTGTGGCAAAGTACAACTTCATCAATTACATTCCCATAGTCCTGGGAGGCAGAGTGTGAGAGGAGGACAAAGGAAATGGTAAAGGAGGTGACCACAAATCAAAGGCTCCAGATAGTAATCCCCCCTCTGCGACTTAGTGGTGGTGTGACTTTGAGCAACTCTCTAAAGACTCTCTGATCCCCCAGCTTTCTCATCTTTAAATTAGAATAATAATACTGGCACTCCATATACCTCATCTGAGATGATAGATGTAGCAGAGGTATCATCAACTTCCCCAAAATGGTGGGTTTGGCCCAAATAATCTCCGAAGTCCCTATAATTTTTCAAATCCAATGATTCTGTGATTCTACTTTGACCACACCCTATCCCACTCCTGATTCCCACACTCCCGCTCCCTTCTTCTCTCATACATAAGTGAACACTGGGTCCTGATCCTTCCTTCCCTCTGACTCTATGACAGATTCCCCACCCCAGTGTCTCCCGTGGTCTCCCAGTGGAAAGACATGATTGGAACAGCCTTCTCCCTGGCCATCGTGGGTTACGTCATCAACCTGGCCGTTGGCAGGACCCTGGCAACCAAACATGGCTATAACGTGGATTCTAACCAGGTAATACAAGAAGAGGTGTGGAAATGGAACATGTGTTGGAAGCAGGGAGGGAAGAAGAGGGCATGGGCAACATATTGGAGAAGCTATGCAAAGATAGCTGCCTGGTGAGGGGGTCCACCAGCAACTGGCTGTTACTGTGCAGATACTGGGGACTATGACATTGAAATATGGACTTGTTTAACACCATCATTGCTTGTAGAAACACTGAGATTCACAAGACTTAGTGACAAAAAGGACCCTAGAGATCTAGACTGAACCTCTCATTTTACAAATCATAGGATAATAGACTTAAAGTTGGAAGGGACCTTAGAGGTCAAGTCTAACTTTCTTTACTTTACGGATGAAACTGAAGCTCATGGTTAGTAACTGTCTGAGGCAGGGTTGGAGCCTAGATCTTTCTGACTCCAAATCCAACATTCTACCCATTACACTGCCTCTAAGGAAACTGATGCTCAAATAAGCAATATGACTTACTCAAGATGATACTGCTGGTAGGCCTCTGAGGCATAGAACCTAGGGGACAGGAGGATAGAGTAGAAAAAGATTACTGGGCTAAGAATCAAGAGACCTGAGTTCTAATTTTGATTCTGGCTCATTATTCTAGGTAAACCTGGACAAATTTCTTAACCTTCCTAGACCTCAGTTTCTTATCTATAAATGAGAGCATTGGACTAGATCAGGAGTTCTCGGCCTTTTTGTATCATGGTGAAGCCTATGGACCCCTTCTCACATTAATTTTACTTTAAATTCACAATTGAAGGAAATGTTAATTTTCAGTTAGAGGTTAGTGAAAATAATGATGTAATTTTTTTCCCATCCAAGTTCTCAGAACCCCTAAAATCCACCCACAAATCATTGGGGGTCCATATACCACAGGTTAGGAACCCATGAACTAGATAATCTCAAGGGTCCCTTCCAGCTTTGAGTCCTCCATGGTTTTCTTATTCATAGGGCTGCTCCAAAGCCCTGGCTCAGCTCATATTCTGGCTCTTTGCATCTGGCAAAAGCTTACCTTGAAGACATGAGATATCGGATCATCCTCTTGAGGTCCAATTACCTCTAGTAATCTTGTCCCTAATGACTCTTATGGCAGGTAGGTGGCATAGCAGACAGGATGCTGAACTTAGGGTCTGGAAGTCCTGAGTTCAAATCAAGTCATTTACTAGCTTTGTGACCCTGGGCAAGTCACTTAACCTCTGTCTGCCCCAGTTTCCTTATCTGTAAGACAGGGGTAATAATTGCACCGACTCAACAGGGTTGTTATGAGGATAAAAATAGATAACATAAAGAAAGTACTTTGCAAACCTTAGAGCAATATATAAATACTAGCTATTATTAGCTGTATTTTTTTTTGTTAAAGCAATTGGGGTTAAGTGACTTGCCCAGAGTCACACAGCTAGGAAATATTATATGTGTCTCAGGTCACATTTGAACTCAGGTCCTCCTAACACCAGGGCCGGTGCTCTATCCACTGCACCTCCTAGCTGCCCCTATTATTAGATGTATTATTGGTATCCCTGGGGCATGACTTGCCATCCTATGGTCTCTAGCTTATCTTCCTGGTGCTAGGATCATGAAATCATTATTGCTAGAGCTAGAAGGGACCTCAGGAACCGTCTAGTTCAGACCCATCATTTTACAGATGAGGAGACTGAGGACTTGTCCAAAGTCACAGAGACATTAAGTATCTGAGTCAAGATTTGAACCCAAAGTCTTTGAGTTCATTATCTATGTTCTTCCCAGTGTCGGGATTGGTGCCACCATGCAGTAGCTGGATCTCAGAGTCAGCAGTTGAGTTTCTCTGCCTCAAGTTCTCCTGCAGCCTCACCCCACCCATGCTCTAACTCTACCCAGACTGACTCCCATCTGCAGGGGAGATGGACTCCCAAGTTTCTAAGCACTCCTTCTCTCCCCGCAGGAAATGATTGCTCTGGGCTGCAGCAACTTTTTTGGCTCTTTCTTTAAAATTCATGTCATTTGCTGTGCTCTCTCAGTCACCCTGGCTGTGGATGGAGCAGGGGGCAAATCCCAGGTGAGCTGGTTGGGGGGATGGTGGGCAGTACATCTCTCTGAAGTCAATTGGGAAGATCCCCAGAAGGACCAGGTGCCAAGTTGGACTCCAAGAAGCTCGTCACACTGCCTCCCACTCAGATCTCTTCCCCTAGCCTAGAAAAGTGAAACCAAGCCCAGTCCCTAGACACTTTCTCCATTGTCTCCCATAGGAATTGCCCACCACCCCCTTCCCTCCACCACTTCTGGCTGAGGCACTGAGGGGCAGGGACAAATTCACACCGGAGACCCAGTTATCCCCTAGAGAGAAAGCCCTCACCCTCATCACATATATCCTGCCTTCTTCCCTCCCTCAGTGTTCAGATTTTTTTTTTTTACTCTTCACAGATATCAAGTCTGTGTGTGTCCCTGGTAGTGATGATCACAATGCTGGCATTGGGGGTCTATCTATACCCCTTACCCAAGGTAAGAGCACAATTGGGGCAGGCTGAGGTAAAGGAGGGAAGAATCACATAATCATAAAGTATTGGAGATAGAAACGACCATAGAAATGGCCCAGACCAAACCCCTGTCTGAAGCATGAATCAAAGAGATTAATTTTCTTGGAGAAGGACAAAGGCACACAAAACCAAGATAGGGTTGGGTGTGGAACTGTCTACGTGGCAGGTGCTAGCATAGAATTTGACGCGCCTCTAGGCCCATAACACCCATGGTGGCCTCATCCTCAAAGGGATGAGGCTACAGGACATCTGGGCATTTTCATAGGATCATAGAGCTGAAAGGAAGCTTAGAGATCACTGGTTGACCTGCCTCATCTTACAAAGATAGTAACACAGTTACACAGATAGGGTTTGAACCTCAGTTCCTAGGAAATTATCTTGCATATCTCTCTCTCTCCCTCTTCTTATCTCACTGTCTCTCTCTCTCTCTGTATCTCTCTCTGTCTCTGTCTCTGTGATTCTTGACCAGAGGGTTAGAAAACAGGGAAAGAGACTCTGTCCTACTAGTCTGAATCCTTGTTTGTTCTCCTTACAGTCTGTACTGGGGGCCCTAATTGCTGTCAACCTCAAGAGCTCTCTTAAGCAGCTCGCTGACCCCTATTACTTGTGGAAGAAAAACAAATTGGATTGCGTGAGTGTGTCCTCCTACCCCTTCCTTGGACTTCTTAGCCCTCGAAGGCTCATTTCCTCCTGGTCATCCTAATTCCACCTTCTGGCTAAAGTCCAAATCTGCCTTCTCCAGAACTTTTCATCTGCCAGTGGCCCATGGGAGACCCCACTGTTCAGAGGGGGAGTTTTTAGGCTCAGACAGAGCAAGACAAAGTGAAGGCAGGAAAATCAGGAGTCCCAACAAACTCCCCATCTCCCCTGTAATAGTTATAGCCTACATTTATAGAGCATTTTACATTCCCCATCTCATTTGACCCTTGAAACAACTCTGAGAAACAGATTATGTGAGTATTATTGTCCCCATTTTACAAACAAGAAGATGCATTGAGGTTCAGTGATTTGCCAAAGGTAACACAACTAATAAGTAAACGGCAAAGATGGAACCTGGAAGCAGGACTTGTGTCTCCAAATCCAATGCCCTTTCTACCATGCTGCTTTTCATTATTACTTCTGGACTCATCCCAACCCTTTAAATCTGTCTACTACATTATGGGTTTTTTTTTCAAAATCACAGTCTTATTGAATTTACACAAGATTCCCATAAGAGAAATGTGGCAGGTAGTAACACAGTGAGCTTCAAGAATTCGAAAAACTCTTCAGAGAGGAACCATAGGAATCCATATACCAACATCTCTCCTTGGTAGCCAGTCCTTTGATTGACAGGTATTGAGTAGGCACCATCAAGGACACATATGGCCTGTAGAGCTTAGGATACTTACTTCAAATATACATTCTTGGTCCCTGAAGAGCTTCTATCTAGTCTAATGGGGAAGAAATTAATGATAGCTGTAACTATAAAATTGCATCAATTCATTGAAGGAAAGGGGTAGGTTTGACCCTAGGAAGGCTTCCTAGAAGAAGGGGTCTTCTCCCTGGGCTGGCCTCAGAACCATAGCCTTAGGGCAACTTTCTTTTCTCTCTCTCCTCACAGTGTATCTGGGTTGTGAGTTTTCTCTCCTCCTTTTTCCTTGGACTGCCCTATGGTGTAGCAGTGGGTGTCTCCTTCTCCATCCTAGTGGTTATTTTCCAGACCCAATTGTGAGTACTCTACTACCAGCCCTGAGCTACCCCTCAAACTCCACTCCTCTTAAAGTCAGCCTTAGGGTAACTGATGCTAAGCCTCTATGGTGTCCATCACTAATGCCTGTATTTTGACATAGCCGATTCCTTTCCTCTTACCAAGAGTAGGTGCCTCCATGACTCAGGACTGGAGGGGTTACCAGGGTCATTGCAAGACCTGATCCAGCATAGGTTAGCAAAAGGCATTGACATAGGGTGCATGAGGAGCCCTATCTAAACTCACTCCTGAGGGAAAATGTGTTACCATTGACCGTCCCAGAGGACACAGTTAATAGCCCTTGGATTCTAAAGAGAGTTGAGAATAAAGGGTTAGAGAAATAGAGAAAATCTGGCAAGCATCAGAGGTAAGAGGAAGAGTCTGGTGAATAGGATAACCTTTCCAACACAGCCCAGACACACTCTGAGGAGGCCAAGCCATTAATTGGAGTGCCCAGGCTCAAACTTCTTTCCTACCCCTAGAAAAATTACAAGCACTTGACTTACCCCACCCTACCAAGCAATGTTGTACGAGCTAGCACCAGTCCCAGAGTCTGGGTAGGAAACAGTAGATACTAAGCCTCAAGAAAACCTTTCCTCCTCTAACCACTCAGAACCAAAAAGTCCTAATGCTGGTACCACACACACATTATGACCTTGTGAATGTCCCCATATCTTCAACCCCTTTTTGGGAAACCTGTCTGGAGTAAATGGCTCCCTGCCCCCTCCCCCTAGTTATTCTCTTTTGCTAGACCATAGATCACCACGTAATTCCACCTAGAAAGAACCCCCACCTCAAGACCAGGAAGGAGTTTCCTCGCTTGCCCTCCTTCTGGTCTTAGCAGCATCCTTTGAATTCTATATTGAGTGATTGTTCTCATTTGTTTTTCTTTTTTCCTTCCTTATCCAGTCGTAACGGCTCTGCCCTGGCCCAGGTCATGGACACAGATATCTATGTGAACCCTAAGACCTACAATAGAGTAAGTAGCAGTCTCCTCCTCCCATTCCCTAATACTCCCTCTCCTCTGCCTCATCTCCTTCTAAGGCAAAGAGGTTAAAAAATAATAATACAAAGACACTTCTGCCTCTTAAGCCCAGTCTCCTTGTGGCAGGTCCAGGAAGTAGAGGGAATTAAAATCCTGACTTACTGCTCCCCACTCTACTTTGCCAACTCAGAAATCTTCAGACAGAAGGTCATTTCCAAGGTAAAGTACAGTCCCCTTGAACCTGGAGGGAAGAAGTTCTCTGGAATGGCACTGGGCTGGGGCAGGGAGTGAGAGAGACAGAGAAGGTGGAGCTCATTTATAGCTACTGGTCCTTTCCCCATAGATAGGTGTGGATCCCCAGAAAGTGTTCCTGGCCAAGCAGAAGTACCTAAAGAACCAGGAGAAGAGGCGCAAGATGCCCACAAAACAGAGGAAATCCCTATTCTTGAAAAAACAAGGTGAGCTAAACTCAAGACAGCACCCCCTTCACACACATATATACTTCATCAGCTAGCTCTCTCTCTCTCTTTCTTTCTCCCTCCCTCCCTCCCACATTCCCATCTCTGTGTCTTTGCCATATTGTATCAATAATCCAACTATGTGGAGCTAAGCTGGAGTTCTTAACCTTGGGGGTTTTTATGTTATGATAAATTTATTTGAATACAGTTTGTTTCCTTTGTAATCCTATGTCTTTTATGCATTTAAACATGTGATTTTGAGAAAAGGTCCATAGGCTTCACCAGATTGCCAAAAGGACACCAAAAAGGCTAAGAAAGGACTCTGATCTAGAGAAATGGATTTCTCTAGCTGGGACCCCTCCACGGGTCCACTCTGAACCATCCCCCTGTCCTTGCCCCCAGACTGTCTCCCTGCAGGAACTCCAGCAAGACTTTGAAGTTGTTTCCCCCACGGATACCAACAACAATCAGACAGCTGCCAATGGAACTGGGATCTCCTACATCACCTTCAGCCCAGAGACCCCCACACCCTCCAAAGATGAGCCAGCAGCCCACTTTCCACCGTCCAGTGACCCTGAGGACACCCTGGCCAGTGCCCCACCCTTCATCTCTTTCCACACCATCATCCTGGACATGAGTGGGGTCGGCTTCGTTGACCTTATGGGCATCAAAGCACTGTCAAGGGTAAAGCTTAAATGGAAAAAGAAGAGCTAAACCCTCTAAGCTCTCTTTTTTTTTTCCTGACACCTTTACTGTTCCCTAGTTTGGAGAAACTGATCCAATGCCAAAGGTCCCTCAGGGAAAGGAGCAAAGTAGAACAGTCCTTGACTTCTTTAAATCTGCTCAGAGTGGGCAATCTCCCTCGAATATACTGTACATAGAACACTTCTCCAGAGGCCTTCCCTCTTGGTAAGAACTCAGATCTCTGTACCTGCCTTCTAGAAAAAGGGCAGATGGTATCCTATTTCTCCCACTCTCACCCCTCTAAGTCTCCAAAATCCATCAGAGAGAATTTGGCCACACACACCTGCCAACTGCTGCCCCCAGCCGTTCCTAGACTGACAATTAGAGTAGTGGGCAGATTTTGGTCACTAAACTAGGAAATCAAGGAATATGGTGATTCTTCTCCCCTTTCCACAATCCAAATGGGCAGGTCAGAGGAAAATTTCTGGTAAGCTTATCTTCTTCTGATAGCATGTCTCACTACCTCTCGAAGATCAAAGTCAGTGGTAAACTATAGAGGTGACTGGAGGAGGAGAGGGTCTGTGGAGGGGGGAGGGAGGAGAAGAAGCGCCCACATAACCAAAAACTTTCTGCAATAAATTGGGCCCTTAAGCATCTCATTATAGAGAAAGCTTTCCAGCCTAGATCAGGCCATAGGATCAGTGTATTGAGAATTAGAAAGGCCTTTAGAGATCACGGGAACCACAGGCCCCCTCTACACCCTCCAGTGAGCTTGAGGAACCCCTGGTCAATGCCCTGCCTATTCATCTCCCTCACAACATCATGCAGAACATGGAGAGTTCTAGAAAGAGACTCTCAAGGCCTAACCCCCTCATTTTACAGATGAGGAGACTCTTAGTCACATAGGTAGTAACCAGCAGAGTCAGGATTCAAACCTAGGTCCTCTAACTCCAAATCCATGCTCTTTTCACTAAACCATGCCACCCCATGCCTTATCTTGCCTACTAGGTAGAGTGAGAGAGGTCCTCCTGATCCCTGTCCCTGCATAGCCTTGGGTACAAAGCTTGCCTTCTCTGAATCTTTCCTTTGATGAGTGCAGGAGAATTGCTGCTTCCGTGCTCCCCAAGGGTCAGTGAGGAGAAAGATCCAAAAGGCAATCATTCTCCTGAAGTGCCCACCAAATGATCAGAGCCAACATTCCATCCTGCTTTCCAAAGCTCTCAGTCAGCACTCCAAGGAGAAGTAGTGTATGCCTGCTGCTATTTTTAGCATTGGCTACACTCATTGACTTGTTCAGCTCTACTTGAAGTATGTTTTGTGGGTCACCTGTGGGACACACTCAGAACATTCTTCTCCTTTTGTCTCTCTTTCTCTCTCTCTCTCTCTCTCTCTCACCTGGCTCCCCACCTCCTTCTCCTGCCCAACACTTCTGGCCCCAGCTCTCCTCCACCTATGGGAAGATTGGTGTGAAGGTCTTCTTGGTGAATATTCAAGGTAAGAGGAAGGCTGACATTCAGAAGCAGTTACAAGGAGCTAGGCAGGGAGAGCAGAGCTGCCAGGCAGTCTTGAGGTTATTACCTACCTGGAAGACATCAAGGAGAAATGAGAATGAGAGCAGATTATAGAAACAAGCCAGGAACAATGACAAAAGTGATCACAGAAATAGTTCCCATCAGCATACAGAGAGGAAGAGAGATAGAAGGGCAGGGGAGAGGAGAGAACAGCAGAGGGAGGGCAACAGAGAGAGAGACAATCCATCAAAAAGCATTGCCAAGTACTCTACTAAACACTGGAGACACAAAGGAAAAAGCCAAACAGGAACTGACATTCTAATGGAAGAAACGCCATCTACAGAAAATAGGTGTATTCAAGATACATGTAGAGTAGTTACAAGGCTGTTGTTGTCTGTCCTTTGTTCTCAAAGAGGACCATGACATCAGGAAGGCAATGTCATGACTTGCAAGTGAATTGGATATAAGTGAGGCAGGGCTGTGCGAAGTCACCAGCCTCACTTTATCCTGCAGAGCCTTCTGGGTCCAGTGGCAAGATATGGATCAGAAGACTAGAGATGGTCCAGCATGCAGCGGGAGACTTTGGCCTTCTTAAGCTAAGGTTTTTCACAGGTCTCAGTTTGTCTGAGGCAACACCCATTCAGTGAGTAAGGCTAGGTAAGAAATGAGGCAAAAAATGCCCTCTTTTATCTAATTTTTAAAAAATCAAAATGGAAGGGGAAGACCCTCAAGTTTTCTAGGCCAAAACAGATACAATTGCTATTTACATTCACTCCCAGCCATCAGAACCCAAACAATGACCAAGTGGGTCTTGGCTTGGAACCTACTGTTGACCAATCAGTGAGAGTCAGAGTGATTTAGGTTTAAGGTATGGTCCTTAAAAAAAAAAAAATCTAGCAAGGTTTCAGCAATCAAAATTTATATTCCTTTGGGCAGAGTACCCACATTGACTCCCTATATGCACAGAAGGAGAGGAGGGAGGGAGAGGAGGGAGAGGAAGGAAGGAAGGAGGGAGCTGTGTTGCCCAACTGGAACTGGCCAGTTGGGTGCCCAGTGGGGCAGCTATTCACAGGTTATTGTTTGTCCTTCATTCTTGGAGAGGACCATGACATCGGGAAGGTGATGTCATGACTTGCAAGAGAATTGGATTTAAGTGAGGAAAGGCTGTTACAAGGTAAGCTTAGAATGGAAGACTAGTATGTGGAAGGGCCCAAGAAAGACCCCTGCAGATGCTGGTCCTTGACCGGAGTCCAAAAGGAAGCCAGGGCTTCTCAAAGGTAGTAGTAAAAAAGGAGAGCATTGCAGGCATGAGAGACAAGAATCAAGCAATCAAAATTTATCAAGCACCTACTATGTGCCAGGAACTAAGTACTGGGGATACAAAAAGAGGCAAGAGACAAACTCTGCCCTCAAGGAGCTTACAACCTAATGGATACCATAAGCATTTCTTTAAAGCACAGGACTACCTTGTCCCCAGCAAGGAGGTTTTAACACCTCTGGGCATAACCCCCAAAGGTGAAGATTCCTCAGTGTTAAACAGCTTCCTTTTGCCTGAGTCTCAAGCCCAAGCTTTTCCCTATGTTCCTCACGCCCTCTGCTGCTCAAACTAGCATTGCAGCATTACAAGTGGGAAGTTTGATTCCCAAGACTTCAGATACTGACTCTTCTACAGAGTGACTTAAAGTTTGTGAAGCCCTGTCTCTCTTCACAGCAAGCTCCTAAGGTAGGCAACCCAAGTGTTACATCACAGGCAAGAGAGGCTCTTAAACATAACTTTTCTCTCCTCTCTTTCTCCATCTACTTCTCCCTTAACCCCTTCTCCTTGCCCCAGCCCCCAGGGGCAGGTATCTTCTTGACAGATAATGTTTTTCCCCTTTCTAGCTCAAGTGTACAATGACATTAATGATGGAGGTGTCTTTGAGGATGGGACCCTAGAACGATGTCACATCTTTCCCAGCATCCACGACGCGGTCCTTTTTGCCCAAGCCAACAGAAGAGTGGTGGTCACAGGACAAGATTTGCGAGCGGTATGGTCCGTGACATTAAGAGTACTCCATGCCGGAGTGGGATGAATTAGTGAAAACAATAAGAAAAGGGATGCCTTCTCTGTCCTCACCAGTAACCGAAATAGGATCGCAGAATATTAGAGCTAGAAAGGAACCTTAGAAGCTGTCCTGTCCAACCCATTTCACAGATTAAAAAAAACCTGAGGTCCAGAGAGAACATATGCCCTTTTCCTTTCCTCCATTCTCTCTAGGAAGGCCACCCCTTCCAGAAAAAAGCATTGAGGAAAAGAGCGTAGAGAAGACTTATAGAACTTAAGAGCAAGGCAGCAGCCTTGGAAACACTCTTCGGCAGAGAACCCAGCCAGTTGTTCTCTTTTTTCTCTTTATTTTTTAATTTAATTTTTTTTTCAATCAACAAAAATCTACCTTCCCTCATTCTCTCTCCTACCTCCGCCGGCCACCTTGAGGAGAGAAAGAAAAACAAAAGCCCTGTTATAAACGTGTATAGTCAAGCAAAACAAATTCCCTCATTTGGCCATGTCCAAAAATATTTAAAAATTCTGTATCAATCAACACCAAGTACATCTCCTCTCTGTTAGGCACATTTCAGCGTGAGTCCCCTGGAGTCATGCCTAATTAGTCACTTTCCCAAGCCGTACCACACAACTCTGATGTAATAACAGCTTATACTCCTGTAGTCAGTCGATAAATATGAAGTGCCTACTAGCACTAGGACAATGCCAAGCATGGTGCTAAGTGCTGGGTTTATAAAGAAAGGCAAAGAACAGTCCCTGTTTTCAAGGAGTTCACAGTCTAATGGAGGAGACAACATGAAAACAATTATGTACGAGCAAGATATATGCAGGATGAAAGGGGAGATAAACAACAGAGGCTGTGCCAGCACTTGAAGGTGTACGAAGGGCTTTTCTTACACAAGCTCATGAGGTAGTTGTATCAGGACTGATTTCTCCATTTCCCAGATGAGGAAACTGAGGTTTAGAAAAGGTTAAGTGGTTTGCCCAGAGTCACGCAGCTCCAGTTTAAATTCAAATCTTCACCAAGATCTTTCTACTTGCTGTCCCACAGGACCAGGACCCTTGGGTAAAGTCGTTGCTGTTGAGTCATTTTTTTCAGTTATGTCCAACTCTTCATGACCTCTTTTGGGGGGTTTCTCGGCAAAGATGCTGGAGTGGTTTGCCATTTCCTTCTCCAACTCATTTTACAGATGAGGACACTGAGGCGAACAGGGTTAAATAACTTGCCCTGGGTCACGCAGCTAGTAAGGGTCTAAGGCTGGATGTTAACTCAGGTTTTCCTGATTCCAGGTGCAGTGTTCTCCCCACTGTACAATCTAGCTGCCCCACTGGATCAAGAAAAACATTCAAATAATTACAAATTAACTTGTTGGTGCTCTATAGAAAAGGGAAACTCCACAAGGGGGAAGAAAGAGGAGTAGCAGGGTTGGTCCAGATAGGGGAAAAGAGTTCTCTTCTGGAATTTTGACCTAAGTAGATCATTCAGTGAATGGCATGCATATACGAATCAATACCACTTAAAAATCCCAAATGTTGGGGAGATTGGTGGGGCAGGGCTAGCCTTTCCCAGCATCGGAGTCCATGCCCAAGGCTCTCTTCAAGCTCCCCACTCAGCCCTTGCCTTCAGCCTCTGGGCCTTACTTTTACTTCAAATGTCCATAAAACTGCCCCTGCTTTCTTCAGATCAAAGAAAGGGCTAATCTGGCCTTAGAGCAACTATTTGCTCTTTGCCTTAAGAGATGGGGGAAGGTGAAACCATCTGTAATCACGTTGAAAAGCCACCTAGGAAAACAAATACAGCTTCTGGCTCCTACCCTAAAGATGGAAAGGGAAAAGGGAACGAGGGAGGTGCAGAATCAGGGTCAGCAAGAGCTAGGCTGGCTGTCCTGAGGCAGCCTGGTATCTTCAACTTGGTGAGCTTTTGTCCCAGGTCAGAGGGAGTTGAATTTTCTCCCTAAAATAAAATAAAACACCCTTCTGAGCGGTGAAGTAGGGTCAATTGAGTTAGGGGAAAGAGCACTGAATTTTGGGTCAGAAAACCTGGGTTTAAATCTCTACTCTGCAACTTCCTACAGGTATATCCTAGGAAAAGGGAAAGGGAAATAACCATGCATATAGTGCCTAATAATTACCAGACACTGTGCTAAGCACTTTATAAATACCATCTCGTTTGATCCTCACAACAGCTCTGGGATATAGGCACTACTGTTACCCCCATTTTATAGTTGAAGAAACTGAGGCAAAGAAAGATTAAATGTCTTGTCCAAGGTCATCCAACTAGTTAGTGGCTGAGGAGAGATTTGAATTCAGGTCTTCCTAACTCCAGGCCTAGGGTTCTCTCCATGGCAACAGGTGCCCCTTGAGCAAATTACAACCATTCTGGGCCTCAGTTTCCTTGTCTACAAAATAAGGAGCTGGTACTAGATCCATTCATTCATTTAACAGACATTTATTAAACACTTATGAGGTGCATGTAGAATGCTGGGCATTTCCTTATAAGTACATTAGAGAATTGCTGAACAGTGGCATGGGAAGGCTGAGGGGGAAGGTCATTGCTGACAGAAGGGATCAGAGATTTAAGCTCTAAATCCCTTGATCCTCATGATCATTTCATGCCAGTAACACAGCTCACAGAGGAAGGCAGGCCTGTTGGCATCTGACTGATGACAGAGGAGGAGGGAAAGGAAGTATGTGTGTTGCTCTATATTCTGGGGGGAAGTAAAAGGAAGATTATATTGAGAGAAACAGTGCCTGCATGGGAGTGGGCATATCCTAAGTGGCCGGAGAATAGACAGGAAAGACACTGGCTTTGGTTAGGACCCCGTCCTGCCTTGAGGCTCAGTTTAAAATGGCACCTATCCCACACTAGCTTCCTTCTTTCCTCGTAGGCTCCAGTGAACACTGGTCTTTCGATGTATGATTCAGACGATGGTGGATCTAGCTACCGTGATCTGGAACCGGTGAGCTGGGAGTGGGATTGGGGGAGGGAAGAGGATTATACAGACATCCTTCAGAAATAAGATTCCCAGTCTGCAGCCATAGAAGGGACAGGGAAGGGAGGGGTTTTGGGTCATAGAGAAGAATTCTCATTCTCATCTTTTAATAATGGATCTTCTTTCTTTTTACCCATCCCTGCTTTCCATATCAAACCATCAGTATCTATTAAGCACTAACTATAACCAGGCACTGAGAAGCAAGGACGAAAAACACAGTACCTGCCCTCAAAGAGCTTACATTCTATCAGGAAAGACAACAGTCCATCAGACAACAGGCATTTTTTTAAAAAGCATACTATGTGCCAGGCACTGTGCTAAGTGCTAGGGATACAAAGAAAGGCAAAAAAAAAAAAGACCCTCTTCAGAGAATGAATATTCTAATGATGGAGACAATATGTAAATAACTAGATGTGTCACAGTTATATAGAGAGTATATAAAGGTTATCTGCAAAGGTTAGGCATTATCAGTTTGGAGGACCAGGAAGGGCCTGGCAGAAAGTGGGACTGAAGCCAAGCCTTGAAGGAAGCTAGGGGTATTAAGATGCTGAAGTAAAAGGGCAAAGCATTTCAGGCATGGGGAATGAGCAGGGCAAAGGCATGAAAATGAGAAATGGAGGTGGAGGGTCATGTATATAAATTGGCATATATGTATCTGGGAGAGAGAGAGAGAGAGAGAGAGAGAGAGAGAGAGAGAGAGAGAGAGAGAGAGAGAGAGAGAGAGATTTCACCATAATCTTGAGAGAAAGGTTCTAGCAGCTCAGGGAAAATTCCATGTCTACCATAACAGGGCACTTTCACATCAGTTTCTTGAAAAAAAACACTCATACAAAGGCTCCAAGTAGATAAACAAATCATGGTGATGGGCCTAAAGGAAATCAAATAGTGGGTCTAGAAGAAATGACATTTCTTCTTACTCCTATTTCCCTCCCCTTTGTATCTGTTTTCTATGGGATTTTGTAGCTAGGCAGAGCTTTGAGCCTATTTGCTTATGAGTGCAAACTCTGAGCTTAGAAATGAAGGAGGAAAGAAATCAAGATGGCAGAAAAGGTCACCTAATCTCCCAGAATTCCTCAAATCTCAGAATTGTGCAGAGATGATTCTCCCCATTTTATATGAGAAAACTGATATTCAGAGATGTGCTCATATCGAAGTCAATAGCCCTAAACTTGTGGAAGAAGATACAGTGTGCATGCTGCTGCCTTCTCAGTTTGTCTCTACCTGTTGCTTCTCAACCCTTACAACTCTAACCCCAACCCTCAGGGCCACTCTGGGCCCCAACCCACTCTCCTGACCAACAAACCTAATGCCCTCTCCTTCTGCCTCCCCTACAGGAGATATTTGGGAGCATGTTCCACTCTGAGACACTAACAGCTCTGTGAGTCTTCATTGGGAGCCCTCACCATCTCCAACATCTCCCATTCCCCAGAACCTTCCACGAAGGAGCATCTAACCTCTGAGCCTAGGATTGTGTCAGAGACTGACTTCCAGAGGCATGGCTGGGTGCAGGAAAGCACATACACCAAGCTTCCTGTCTTCACCTTCTCCATCCTCTTCCTCTTTCTTCTGCTTGGACCCTCCAGAAGGACCCAACCATTGCAGCGCAGAGCTCTCAGGCCTGGCAGGAGCAAAGACTTGGGGAGTCAACCTTCTCAGCTGCGGCTTAGCTCCTCAGAGTTCTGATTGATACTAAAAAGACATCTCCTCCCCTAGGCAGTTGGAAGGGCCCCTCAACTTCCTAGACTTTAGGATAAGCCAAGACAGAGGGAAAAATGTAAAACTCTGACTTAAAACCAGAGGTTGGGTTGATACCACACTTCGATGCCAGTAGCTTGCAGGCTGCCCAAAAGCACTGGGACTCAGCCCATGGAAGAGGGAGATTTTTTACGCTGAGTTCGACTGATACTTTGTGGCTTCACCTCCTTCTGGGACCAACTGCCCTGATTCTGTGCACTGACAATTTCTGTGCCACCAGTCCCTCCTCTGGGGCCACTTTTATTGTCTTTCTTGAATTCAAGTCCATTTTCAGGGACTGCATTCATTTCCTCCATTGCCTTGCATTCGCCAAGGTCACCTGCCCATGGGGAATGACCAGAGGTTAAAAACAGTTTCTCGTCCACCCTATACATGCCCACTGGCCCTCTAAAGAGCAGAGTGTCCTTGTTGAGTGGATGCTGGGTGCCAAGAATGTGGGGTCCTGAGTAGCAAAAACTCCAACAACAAATACACGCAAAGTAAGAGATCTGAATCTGTGCATGAGACTGAGGGAGGCTGGTACCAACCTATCACGACCTGGTATCAGGCTGGATTCCAGCAATGGCACCTGAAGGTCCTTCAGATCCCACAGACAAGGTGTTTTTTCTGTGTAAAAGAGCTGCAGTCTCCCTGAGACAACAGGGAGGGGCTTATCATTTTAACCCTTCTCATGTTTTCCACAATGATCAACCCCAGCAAAGCCAGAGCCTACTCCCCTCTAGGAAGCCAGCCAAGTGGCTCACCTAGGGGCCTGGAGCCAAGAGGCCACATTCATCCCTCCTTTGGGGAGAGAATGCCCTCCAAGAACAGGGCTTGCTGTGTGGCCCTGGACAAGGCACTTACCTCTCAGGACCTCAGGAAACAACCAAGATCATAAATTAGAGAGTAGGGACTGATCTTCATGGCTAGAAGGAATTTCCCATGCCAATGAAACAAATTCTTCCTCCCCTTCCTCTCTCCCCCCTCCCCACATTGAACTGTAAACATGCAAGCACTATCACAACCCTGTGTAGGACTTGGGATAGGGCTGAGTCTGGTGATGCGAGCCTCCTGGAGAGGCTGAGGCTGGGGGATCACTTGAACTTGGGAGTTCTGAGCAATAGCAGGCCAAGCAGATCCGTGTCAACACTGCCATGCACCAATAGGATGAGCACCTGGAAGCAGGAACCTAAGGATGAGCGAACTGACCGAGGTTAGAAACACAGCACATCAAAACTTCCATGTAAGATTAGTAGTGGGATCAATGATCGGGCCTGTGTGGTCACTGAACTTCTAGCCTGGGTAGGATAGCTATATCCAGAGTCTGAAAAAAAAAAAAGGACTAGAGATAGGGACACAGCCATACTAGAACATCTGGGGTCGTTGCCTCATTTGGAGACAAACACTTTTCTAGCCAGAAGCCTCCTGTCCCTCATTGTGCCCCACTGACACAGCATTCCTGAGCAGAGGATATTGTCAACAAGAGGGCATATACCACTGTCTCAGAAATGACAAGGTCACCATTGCTATTATCCACTTTCATAAAGTTTCCACTGATGCCATTCAATCAATGCCACACAGAAGTCCCTCTGACTCTTCCTCTTGCCCCTCACTATTCCACCCCACCCCTCAAATTTCTCTCCATAGCCATTTTGTTTCAGTGAGCCCTGCTTCAAAAGGTTGGGCTGGCCCAGCCTGGAAAAAAAAAAAAACAAACCCAGTTGACCGAAGCCTTCCCTCACCACCAACCTCAATCACATGCGTCTCTACCACTGATTCACTAAAGTGGGAGTGTATGTGTCCGTCTGTGTCTAATGAGCCAATGAGCTAGAAAATCTACTGTTAGGGAAAAGAATGTTAGAATATACCCAGTACAACCTTGGGTCAGAGAGACTTGGTAGGAATCAGCTATACCATTATGCTGTCCAAGAAATTAAAACTCAGAAGGCTTTTAGTCTGAGGATTCATCATACCTCGTCCCACCTCCCTGAAAGATAGATTAAAGTAAGTTTAGGATGAGTCTCTTCATTCCTAATCCAGAGACCTCCTAGAGACCCAGAAAATTTATACAGGAATGAAGGTCCAGAACCACCACAAAGTAAATGGAAACTTCAAGAACCAAAATGATGATTGATCCAGAATAATCCAGGGATAAACAAGGAAGGAACAGGCCTTCCAGACTTCTGGAGAGGGCTAAGTCATCTGCACCCTCAGATGTTATGTTATAGTGCTCAGCCAAGCCTCTCCAGCCACCTACCACCTTCAGTCAATGGTAAATGAAGCCAAGGAAAAGCCTGCCTGCTCCTGAGAAGAGAATTACACAGACAATTGTGAAGATGCCCTGAGTTGGAACATTAAAGGCAAGAATGGAACAAGTTGCCACTGACAACCTTTCTGGGAATGATTTAGAAAGAGAGAAAAGGGAAAGAAAGAGAAATAATCCAGAATTTCAATGCTTTTGAATGTTTCTATTGATACTGACCTGTGAGATGCTGCCCCTTCCCCTCCCCGGGCCAGGAGTCTTGAGATCATAGATGCTTGTATAATTTATTTAATTTAATCACCATTCTTCTTTTGTTCTTTTTAGTAATAAATTTTTTTAAAATGTGAACATATAGACATAAATTAGATTGGTTTCCCTGGGAAGGCTGGATGCGTGGACCACACTCAAATTATATATGCATATATATGTATGTGTGTGTGTATATATATATATACACACACAAATATATTATATATTTATATATGTATGTATATGTATGTATATGTGTGTATGTGTATGCATGCATACACATACATACATATACATATATATGGCTTTGCAAACCTTAAAGTGTTTTATAAATGGTAGAGAGGGTTAAAAAAAAAAAGAGGCAAAGAGCCCTAATTAGAAATTCTGTAACTTGGAGCAAATTCCCTTGAGTATGGGCAGGAGAAAAGAAGAGACCACAGGACACCCTCAAGGCTATTTATTTATTTATTTATTCCTGGGGAGCCCTGCACCCACCATCATTGCTGTTGATCTATGGTGTCCTATATGGTATGGGTCTGCTCCAGGTGTGTGCCATCATATCAGCATAGCAATAGGCAAGGCAAACCCTGGGAGAAGAATGTGACAGCAGGGCACCCTTGGTGGGTAATGGCTGCCCAAAAGTGGTTACCAATAAGGTCAAAGATCATAAAGGACCACCATGGGGAAGGAGTATGCAACTCATTTGTCTGTGCCCTGGGAATAAACCCCAATGACCTTGTGCTAGTAACAGCTCAGCACAGAAGAGCTGAGCTTTCTTTTCATCTTCCTCCTAAACGGTAATGGATGGAACACTGAGCCAAATCAAGACCCCCAATCTGGCTCCAGCTGACCTTGTATATGTGGCCTTAAGGAAGTCCCACCATCTCTCTGGGCTTCAAGTTGGATTGTGACAAGTGCTAATCACTTGCGTTTATATAATGTTTGGGAAATAATGAAGTGTTTTACATGCCTTATCTCATTTGGTCTTTATAACTCTGAGATATATAGAACAGGTGCTGCTATTCCCATTTCACAGATGGAGAGCAGAGATTCAAAGAGGTTAAGAGACAGGCCAATTACCTCTCAAGTTAGTAGCAGATCCAGATCTTACTCTAAGAACTAAGAGGAACATCTCAGAGTTAGTCTTCACTCTGCCTTCCACCATTGCTTCTTCCCTCATGGGCTGGTGAGAGTAAGTGAGTGAATGAGGAACAGAGAAAGTTGGGGGCAGGGGGGAGGGGAATCTTGGTCCTGTCATATAGCCTTAGACAAACTATTTATTTCAGTCCTGTCCCATGTCAGCCTCCTAAGCTTGGTCTAAAAAAAGACAAACAGGATTTAGGTTGCATCCATGTTTTTATTTCTCTCAAAGCTGGCAGCACACACTCATGGGAACTGCAGTCCAGAACTGGGCTCCCCAAGGGAGCCAGTTTGGAACTGGGCTCACTTTGGGGTTCAGGTACACAGTTTACATACCTTTTCAACAGGGGCTGATGTCACCCCATCATCATTTTACTTCTGAACAGAGGAAATAACTCTTATCAGACCATCCCCAGGATTTGGGCTATCTAGACAAAACAATCCGTCTCCACCAAATTTTCCCTTCCTTTGATTAAATTACTTGCAAGCTTGGGTGAGGTTTTGATGTGGATATAAATGGTGCCCTAAGGGTTAAAAACAATATTAAGTATTGCTATTCCAGCACTTTGGAAATCCTGTAACTTAAAGGCTTTCTAAAGTCCTTTCCCCCTTATCTTGAACCTGTACTAGAAGAATTGCTTTTGTGTTCCTCATCTTGTCCTGCCTTTAATCTTTAACCCCCATAAAAACCTTTAAAATTACATCATCATTCTCCCCCAAATATTGGGGTCTCATTTAGCTTTCTGGCTAAGGAGACCCATAACGCTTTCTCATGTAATAAAGCTCCCAATGACTTCCGAGGTCTAAGTGAATTCTGTCACACCTGAACTGCTCTCCCAACTCTGATCTCAACAGTTTGACCAGGATAAAAAAAGTTAATGCAATCTCATTATCAGTAATGTCCTTCTGAAGGAAAACTGAACTTTGGAAGAAGAAGGCAAGGTGAAGCTCTGAATCTCATTTTTCACACCCAAGAGGGATAGAGCAAGGTAGTATTACTAGATCAGTATAAAAGCATCCCTTGAGGGGCAGCTAGGTGGCTCAGTGGATAGAGCAGTGGCCTTGGATTCAGGAAAACCTGAGTTCAATTGCGGCCTCAGACACATAACACTTACTAGCTGTGTGACCCTGGGCAAGTCACTTAACCCCATTGCCTAGCCAAAAAAAAAAAAGCGTTCCTTGCAACTACATGTGGGGAAGAGGGATTAGATTAGTTTTGCTTGGTCACAAGAGGCAGACTTAGGAACAAGGGGTAAAATTTACAAGGAGGCAGATTTCAGTTCCTGATAATCTTTCCTAATAATTTGAATAGTTTAAAATTAGAGTGGGCTTTTGCAGGAGTGGGGAGTTTCCCTGTCATTGGAAATGTTGCAGCAGAGGATGAGCGACACCAGTCCTTCCCTGGTACTCCCTGGACTGGATCAAAGGTGTCAAACACATGACCGTGGGCAAATGTAGCCTATGAGGCTCCCTAGCGCTGCCAGAACCAGATTAAAATGTGATTGGGAAATATTTAATTTAATAAATAAAATCTAATAAAATGTCAATAACATTACTTTTTAAAACTAAGTCAATAGGCAGCCAGCAGGGATCCTTATGTACAGATTAGTGACCCCCTTTTCTACTAGAGTTTGACATCACTGAACTAGATGACCCCTAAGGTTCCTTGCTCCTCGATTCTATGGGAAAATCAATTTTTAAAACCTGCCTGACTAATGGCCCTGTTCAGGTATTGTCCTGGGCCCTCATGAGGTATTAATGATGTCTCCTTAACCCAGTGCAAAATTCCTTTAACAAAATTAGCCCCTGTTACTACCTGAGCAACCTTGAAGAAGTCATTTCACAGTCTCTGGAGGTGATGGTTTTCTCACCCATAAAATGAGGGGGCTGGATTAAATGATCCCTAAAGTGTCTTCTAGGTGTATATTTATGATTCTATGAGGTGATATTTGCCTTCAGGGGAACATAATCCCAACCTCCTCTGTTCCTCAGCAGCCCTCCAGGCTCTTTTTGAAATTCCATGCTCCAAGGAGATTTATATTTAAGTGTATGAACTTCTAGGGATCTTTACCAATTTGGTATTAATGGATCAGCTAAGGTAAGGAATTCATACCTTATCAACAAATTAATCCTGTCAATGAAATTTCACACTTGGTTAAGGGCCCATACCTAAACAAAGGATAATGTGGATGGCTGCACCTTAAAAGGGAAGAACCAATGGTGCAATAATTCAATTCCAAGAAGCATTAAATTGCAAAGACAATAAAATTGCTCTCAAGCAATTTAGATTCTATTTGTGAGATTCAAGTTTAAACAAATACATACTTACAATATAATTTGAGGAAGAGAGGGTTAGCAACTGAAAAAGATCAGGAAAGGCTTCCCATAGGAGGTGTCCCCTGCGTTGAATTTTAAATAAAACTAATGATCCTAAGAAGTGGAAGTGAAGAGAGATTTTATTCTAGGCATGTGTCATAGACCAAGCCAAGTTTCAGAGGCAAGAGATGGAATCCAAAGGTTAGAATACAAAAAGTAGGTTACGTTCTACTGGAACAGAAAGTTTTTTAAAGAGATTAAGTAAATCTGAAAAAGTAAGCTAGAGTTGGTCTGTGAAAGTCTTGAGAAGCTGAGGAACTTGGATTTTTTTTTTCTTAGAGGCAATGGAGATATTTAGACAAGTGAAACAGTTAGACTTTTGCTTTAGGAGAATTATTTTGGCAGACACATAGAGACCATCCTCCAGCCCCGTTGGAGAGGTGATAGATAGACTGAAAACCAGAAGTCAAATTAGCAGACCATTACAATAGTTCAGGCAAGAAGTGATGAGGAGGGGCAGCTAGGGGCTCAGTGAATAGAGCACCGGCCCTGGAGTCAGGAGGACCTGAGTTCAAATCTGGTCTCAGACCAAACACTTGACACTTACTAGCTGTGTGACCCTGGGCAAGTCACTTAACCCCAATTGCCTAAAAAAAAAAAGTATAAAAAAATTTAAAAAAAAAGAAATGACGAGGGCCTGAAACAAAGTGGTGGTCATGGGAGTAGAGAAAAGGGGACAGGTGTGAGTTTTGTTGTGAAGAAGAATCATGTTCTTCTTTCACAACATGACTGATGTGGAAATATGTTTAACGTGATTGTACATGTATAGCCTATATCAGATTATTTGCTGTCATGGGGAGAGTGGAGGAGAAAGAGAGAGGAAGAAAAACTGGAACTCAAAATTTCAAAAATGAATGTCGAAAACTATCTTTACATGCAATTGGAAAAAAAAATACTATTAATAAAAAACAAAAAAGAAAGACTCACAATTGGGTAACTTATCAGATATGAGGAGTAAAAGGCAATAGAGTCAAGAATAACTCTGAGGTTGCAAACCTGGATGATTGGAAGAACAATGGTGCCCTCAACAGAAATAGGAAAGTTTGAAGGAGGAGTAGGTTTATAGGGAAAGGTAATTAATGAGTTCTATGCTAGTCCCGCTTTACAGATGAGGGAACAGAGATTCAGAGAGGTTAAGAGACAGGCCACTGTTATACCAAGAAATTAGCGAGTTAGACCCAGACTAATTTAAATTGTGGACTTTATTAGCGCGAGGCTGCCAGGGGCATTCACATCCAAATCAAGCAGCCCCCATCAGGGGTCGAGCTAGGGTTTATATAGGGAGTATACAGGACAGGGAGGGGGATGGATCTTTGAAGTCTGGCAAGAGGAAGAGTTCTTGGGCTGGTCAAGGACACCCCTCTCCCTCTGTCTAGATATGAGAATGCTCTGCAACAAAGGAAAAAATTTTCTCACAACTGAGGAATTTGGAGGCTTTCAGAGATATGATCTGAGGGCTGGGGCCTGAGCAGCCAGATAAGGGTTGTGCATGAATACTGCTAGACACTGTGTCCTTGGGCTGG